CAAAAAAATAACACTGAGCCGTGTAATATCAAATCCCATCAAAAGTTCATTTGATATATTATAATAACAACCAATTCAGCATTCGTCCTGTAGACAAAAAAAGTGAAATATTTGATCTTGAAATAATTGAATACAAAATAAGTATTTTCTATCTCTTAACATATGAACTTTAACTTTCTTTTAATGTATATGTATGCTAATGGAAACTGTGCGTGAAACTTACTATTTTGTTTTCGTGTAACTTACTATCCAGAAATTGTTCGTTTTACTTACTATACATTTGCAAAGAACATTTGTAGGATACAGACCTTCGAAAATATATTTTATATGAACTTCTACGATAACAGATGTCAATAAAATGATTGATTTTGTGTCTTAAGTGCAGAAAGTAAGTTTATTTTCATTTATTTTGGTACCAAATTATATCGCTTCGTGCGAATTACTATCGCTAAATGTGCAATTTTCACACAATTCAAACAATGTTCTCAAAAACCACAAAACGTAGGATAATGCACTTTGTATTGTCATTTGAAGAAAATTAACGCGCATATGATACCCTAGGTTTTGTTTTGATTTAAGAAACGTTTGTCACCTTAATTTAACATAAAAAGGTACTTACCGGGGCTCAGCAGTCGCCATTTTCTCGTGGGTATTACTATACAAAGTCACGTGATTCCCCCCCCCCGTGTGCATTGTAGCGTAGCGAGTGCAGCAATAAGTTTTATATTTTTTAAAACATGAATTGTAACTGGCATACTCACGTATGCAGTATCGAAATTAATAAGAGTCTAGTATAATACATGTTATGATAATACACGTTTAAATAAAAAAAATTCTTCAAAGCGGCTTAGTTTACGGTTTTTTATATATATGCTGGGATTCACAAATATTCATTTCATTTGGAATTTAAAAACGGTTACAATTCAACTTGATACTCCGCGCACCGGTTACGCTACGGCCATCACACAAATCACGTGATGATGGTCTTATCACAGGATTGTTTCAAGATGGCGGATATGCCAAAGAAATCGTTGAACAATTGTTTTATCAATATTATATCTTGAGCTTTGGTGTCTAGTCGATATGATTAGAAAAAAAGTCATTCTTGTTAAGTGTAGAACCGTAATTATTAATTACGTAAATTATTTCTTTTCGAAATTTGGAAATAAATGGTGCGATATAAAGACTATTTACATAATATTTATGTTTCCGGAATAAGTTTTTGTTTAAGTTCACATCTGACACATTACGGTCTTGACACATAAGCAAATCTGTGATTGCTTTTTAAAAAAAAATCAAACTTTGAAACAAAATCATATCGTCAAATTCTTGACTGCCTGAGATCTAATTCTGTTAGGGGAGATCAGTGTGTGGAGGTTGATATCGTGTCAGAATCGAAACAACGCACTTTCGACCCCACCCCCTCTTTTAGGCCTCAAATGGTGAAAAAATGTCCTATTTGGGGCCAAAACATATGCTTTCGTTTGAAAAATGTTGCTAAAAAGTGAGCATTTTTTTCGGCGCCGCCCCCATCCAAAAGATACATCAGCGGGTTGCCAGAAGGGAGAGGTGCCCCCTTCTGTTTTGGGGGGCCTGAAGGGGGGCGGTAGTTCCCCTCATCGCCAAGAAAATTTCGGACTTGTGAGAGGCTAAAAATTACCCCAGATCGATCATAAGGTAACGTGTAACCAACACTGAAAAGCCTTTGACTCTATCACAATCCCTTGAGAAGTTGCAGCACTTAAAAATAAATTTTGATGGAAAAATCAGGGCAAAATAGTGATTTTTGGCAATTTTGAGATGTCCCCTCGTTGCCTTGGTAACAGGAAATTTAAGATTGAGAATGTCGTTACAAAGGCAATGGTCCAGTCAACATTTGTGCCAAGTTTGATTAGCATTGAAGCATTTTTCATAGTTTCATAGCAGTTTGAACTTGTAACAGGAGGCTTTTCAATGAAAACGGCCATATTTCACAATATGCTCATGAGAGAAATGGTTAAATAGATAATATATGATGACTTTGAGTTTAATACCATTAAATCATTAGTGACCGACATTTCCAGCTAGATAATTTATATTTCACAATCAAAAAACATGTCAAGGTAGGAGGCATTTATCAACAGCGAAAAATATTGTAATAGCCTACTTTAACCCATTTATGTAAAAGTTGATATTAATCGATAATTATGCGTGGAGATGTTGTTTAAAGACATATATTCACGACGAATGATGGGCAACTAACAACAGACAGATTGCAGTCACAGAAGTGCTCGGGTGAGCTGAACACATTGACTTACCACGTTTATGCTTGATATACCATAGCTCTGCAAGCCGACCCTCCATCTCGTTTGTGTCCTGTCCATTCTCTGAACAAACGATCAGTTCTAGCAGTTCAGTCTGCCAAGTCTTTCTTAGACGCTCCTTAAAATCCGTGTAACCTTTAGCACCTTTGGATATAACTATTTTCAATAGTGTGTCATTCTTATCAGTAAGGTCCTTATCCTGCAATATATGTTCATTACATTATCAATACGTTTGGAAAGTCAACGTTTAATGTCAAAATTGTGGTGTACTGAAGAAGAAAAAACAAGAGCGAACGGCATTTCAGAGATTTAAACGGCTTATTGCAAGTATCGTTTATGATTTGTCTTCTTTTTTATTTAAGTTCTAATTTAGAAAATCGATCTATATAGTTCCGTGTTCAGCTGAATAAGGATAATAATAGAGTGACGCACCGGTCCAAATGTTACAGTGTAAAAGGTATCATATTGGAGAAGTTATCATTAGCCAGTCAGATTTGCGGTATACTTTTCAAATATCAAACAATATAACAACTGTCAGCGTAACGCACTTGATAAGGATCTTATCAGTCTAATTGTTTCTGGTTAAGATGCAACATTACGGCCGGTATATATTTCGCATAATCAAAATCTTATTTAAACTTGTTTTTCCTTGCATTACATTTAAATGCCTGCCTTTGTTACACGTTGAAGAATTTATAAAGTAACTTCGTCGTAATGCTGGTTGTTAATGCATTGTTTTACCTTTCCAATCGATTGTTAAAAACTGTTTGTGTACGCATAAAATGAAACATCTCTTCCACATTATCATGGGCAAAAGTAGGAGTGTTAGAGACTTGCAGTGATCTAAGCTGTTGAGAAAACTTTATTAAATCCGGTTAATTCCCCCCCCCCCCACAAAGTGAACGACGATTTGTTGAATATGCATCATGGTTTAAAAAGGAACAACAAATAAATAAACAAACAAACAAACAAAAACACTTAAATGAATAAGAACATAAAACTTACGGGCGTAAGATTGTCTTACAAAGCCCTTTATTTGTCAAAGCAGAAATGGTAAAAAATAATAACGAATGTAATAAATGTAACGCGACATGATTAGCAAAGAAAGCTGTATCTAGAAAATTTCGCAATCATTTGAGATGGTTTTGCAGTGATACCAAAATCGTCATATTTTCCAGTGATATATTATATTAGTTGTAGGCATGAAATAAGATTATTCCTCGAATGCCTGCCTCAGTTATTATACTACAATCAATAATTCAAGTAAAGAATTATTGTCACCCAAACATCTGCTTTCAAACTACTTAATATCGTACCTTGATACTATTTCTTTCTGTGTCGGTGAGTAATACAAAGTCTGTTTTACAATCAATTACGGGATCAGGATGCATATACTTCCTGAGTGCATCGTAATTTCTATTTATGACTTGACGTCCTATATGCATTTCAATATCAGAAGACTCTGCCATCTCCAGTCCTTAAATAAAGATAAATAATTCATTTATTAAATACTCTACATAATCATAATACAGTATGTGTTAATTTTAACAGTATACGTGTATAGGAAATATATCGCATTAAAAATGATCCAAATTACGGTACAAAATATATTCTTATCTTTCTTATCTATCTTTAATCTATACCTGACTCGATATAAAAGATAAGATAATACAAGACAATTTGTTTATTTGGGTCTTTTGTACAAACGTTTAAAAATATAACGAAGTTATGAAAGAAAAAACGTAAACAATACAAATGTTAAATTGTTTCGAGAGACTAAGAAAATGTTCATAAACAAGAGGGCCGTGATGGCCCTAGATCGCTCACCTGACCCATCAAACTCATCAGAACAATTACCTAGACAAGCATTCTGACCAAGTTTCATGACAGGTGAGTCAAAAAATGTGACCACTAAGAGTGTTAACAAAGATTATCCATATTTGAGCAGTGTGACCTAGTTTTTTACCCAGGTGACCCATATTCGAACTTGACATAGAAATCATCAAAACAAACTTTCAGATCAAATTATCAGGATACTTGGATCAAAACAGTAGCCACTAGTGTGTTAACAAGATTTTTCTATTTTTAGCTCAGGTGACCTAGTTTTTCATCCGACATGACCCATGTTCGAACTCATCCGAGCAATGACCTAGAAAAGCATCCTGACCAAGTTTGATGATAATTTAGTCAAAAATGTGACCACTAGAATGTTAACAAGGTTTTTCCATATTTGGGCAATGTGACCTAGTTTTTCATTTGAGATAACCCATGTTCGAACTCATCCAAGCTATCAACGAGATAAGCATCCTGGCAAAGTTTGATGATGATTGAGGCATAAATGTGACCGCTAGAGTGTTAACGAACAAGTGTGGACGGACGACAGACGACGGACATTCAACGATCCTAAAAGCTCACCCTGAGCAAGCTCAAATCATCGTAGACATGTTTCCTCTATTTCATTTTGGCAATATAACAGTTAAAGTGATTAAGTATTTTGTATGGAAGTCAAACGACCGCATACTCGTTGTTTGCTACTTTTATGACACTTTCAAAATAAGAGCTACTTTTTCAGGTCACAATCTCTTAAATTATTATGTTATCGTAATAATACTCATATTTCCCTTTTTCTTAAATTAATATTCGTATCGTAGGCATAATGTGCCTTTGAATTCACATAAAAATATGAACATTTCTAGTCCATGCCCTAGTATTAGGCTTTAGAATCTTTACCTGTGCGTCCTTGGACAATGAATCAATCAATATTCAATATGTTTCAATGACCATACACTTTGAGATAAAAAAACGATCGGCAATATTATCACACTATATCATTACACCATTATATCATTTGTGCTTTTTTGGAAAACCTGTGAAACTATTTCACGCACTGTCCTTGGATTATTTATGTGTAGTGGTATAAAATAGAATAGTATGAAAAGTAACTAGAAGAATATGAGTCTCTGATTGTAGCTGCAGTGATTCTTCTTATATTCTAAATCATCTTTTGATACTTCTTTCAACATTTCTACAGAAAGAAATATTCTTAATTTTTGTTATGAAAACAATCCATTCAATATGATATTAAATTATGAACCAAAAGAAATCTTCCCGGGTTGTAATTGTGAGGCGTTTATAAACATTCAAAAGTTATAGATTACAGTGATCTATAAAAAATAACAAATTTCTATAACAAGTACATGTACTTATTTTAATTTACTTCTTTTGAAATAATTTCATTTATATTTATAGTTTATGTGGTTGTAGAGGGGGGGAGGCTTAGGTAACGGGTACTTGTTATACGAGGAAGCTAAGGATCCTACACATCTGGTTAAATCCAGTTGCTTTTCTGTTTTCTGTTTGGTTTTTAATATTATTTTAACTGTCCTTGGAGTCATAATTCTATAGGCAATAAAATTCAAACATGTCTAGACTTCTCTATTTATATACTAAACATACAAGCCAAAACGTCAATCAACGAGGATATTATATTTCTGTTTTGCTTAACTACTAGTACTTTATAAGATATTATGATTTTAAAGTCAGTTATTCAATATGAGTGGTTAAATATTACGACATTAATCATTCAGAAGGAGTTCTTTGTATACGTTGCTTCATTTGGAAACTGCTTTTTGAAAATCGATGTTTAATGCTTGTATATTTTATATTTCATTTTTATTTTTTTATATTATTTTACAGTACTAGGAGTCGACCTGCTGCAAATTAATTGTCGTATGGTCCTTTCACATGTAGGGATTTGCTGTTTATGCATGTAAGGACATAAAACATGCGCCATGATAAATAAATAAACAAGATAAACAATTTCTGGCGCAAGCCAAGAGAAATATTTATATCAAAGTGCGCATGCGTGAGGTGATTTTTCCGGGAAGTTGGTAAAAACGGAGGCCCGGCATGCAAATTATGTCGAAATGAAATATAAGAAATTAGTTGTTATAATGAGATGATGAAATGGAATGATATAGAAATGATATAATACATAAAAACGATATTAAGGATATTAAGAAAACACGAATATCGACCACATGACATACTTCCCCACTTTGAGGAATGTCGCCCCGACATTCATAAAATATTAAAGAGGAAGGGCTTGAATCAGACATTGCAAGTAGTAAGCTTAAATCATAAAGTAACTAAACTACTAGGTATTACATAACTAAATCTAAATACTGAAGGCAATTACAACCTGTGTGCAAATATATAATACCCGGGCAAAAAACCTTAAACTCAAGCATGCTCCACGAAAATACCGTATGCCGTGAATCGAGAAAAATATATGTCACACGGAAACAAAATTTTAATTTATCAGTAGAACTGTGAATTCATTGAAGAGGTGCATTCTAAACAATAAATCCTTTATTTTTAAAGTACTGTAAAGTATATTTATAAATTATCAAGGTAAAATATATGGTACATAGTATAAAACATAAAACGGAACACATCAGGTACCGAACAAAGCCCAACTTCAAAGCCTAGCGTTTAGGGCACACACTTTTTATTACTTGGGGGCCATATGCCGCTTTTCATGGAATGGCACGGAAGTGTCACATTGAAGGTTCCATGATAATCGCCGAATTAACACATCTGCGGATGTTTCTAAATTCAAATTTTTACTATATCATGTTTAAATGTTGAATTCTGCTTAAGCCGGTGCTAGGGGGCGTGGACGATAACTTGCACTTTCCAGTACCGTCCATGAACAGGCTCAATCAAACCGAGCCTGCAACATTTTCAATTTTGTTGTGTTGGACTTTCTTTAGGGATTCTGTTTTTCTCTATTTTTTGAGTGCTTCAATCTTCTCAGGATCTGTCTTCACACCATCAGCACTAACAATGTGACCCAAATACTGGACTTGCAGCTTAAAGAATTCACACTTGGACCCTTAAAGTTTAACATTGTGCATCTCAAGACGTTGAAAGACAGACTGAAGGCGACGGAAATGAGAATCAATAGAATCAGAAAAGATGATAATGTCATCGAGATAAGTCAAACAGTCACGAAGGTGAAGTTCGCCCATACAACGGTCCATTAGACGCTGAAACGTTGCAGGGGCATTGGTCAGACCAAAGCCATTCTGTTGCACTCATAGAATCCGAGAGGCCCAACACTAAAGGCAGTCTTTTGCTTATCAGATTCTTTGACTGGGACCTGCCAATAACCTGAGTGAAGGTCGAGTTTAGAGAAGATAGTAGAATCAATGAGAGAATCAATAGTTTCGTCGAAGCGAGGAAGGGCATAAGCATCCTTGATTGTACGGTTGATCAGTTTCCGGTAATCGATACAAAAACGCAAAGACCCGTCCTTTTTTTCCTTGCTAACACAACATTAGAAGAAAAAGGGACTCTTGGACTCACGGATCGCTCCTGCCCGAAATCATGTCTCGTAAATGCTCACGTACCTCCTTAAACATCCCTGGTGGTATTCGGCGATACGGGTCTTTAGAAGGTGTGGGATCAGACAGATTGATTTCATGTTCGACCAAGTCAGTAGAACCAAGATCAGTAGGCCCAGAGGAGAAAATATGTTCCCACTGACTGAAGAAGGAAGTCACCTTAAACTTCTGTTCAGAAGTTAAAGTTTCAGTGGGAATAGAAATACCAAGGTCATTAAGAGTCTTGTCTGAATTGTGGGATTTATCAGCAACGCCCTCTGAAGGATCAATGGTGCGAACAACAGACACATCATGTAAATTACAAAGAGTCATTCTTGGATAAATGGCGATAGATCTAGCAGTCAAGTTACAAACACGTACTGGAACCCTGCAAAAAGAACTACCAGGTTGTAATTTAACCAATCTAGGGCACACATTCAACATAAGAGGATCAGTAGACTCTGTAACACCAGAAGACATTTTGCCAATATGTCTCACCTTTCCCTCAAGTGTTGTTGTTTCGAAAGGCTTAACAATGATAGTCTAATGATGAAGAAGAGTAACAGGTTTGGTGACAATGTCAGGCAAGGAAGATATGATGTCAGAAAGTGGAGATGATGTTGACTCTGTTCCTGATGACTTCAAAACGTTCAAAATGTTGGTGCCTATTATCAAAGGGACTCTGCAGGAGTATTCTGTGTCTGGAACAATCAGAATAGGACTGAAAAAGATTGTGATGAAAGACAAATATCAAGAACTGAATATCCAAGATATGGTACCTTAGACTCATTAGCAGAAGAAATATCCAACATAAAATCGAACAACTGTGACATGACAGGCTGGGGCTTTAAAGATTTGAAGAATGAAATTCCAATAGATGAAATCATAGAGCCAGTATCTATCAAAGCTATAGTAGAAGTACCATTTATAAGAATTTCAGATTCATAAGAAGAGCCAACAAGAGGAAATGAAGAAGCAGGGTCATTAGAAGGGGAAGTATGACCTCTCATCTGCCCTGCGATGGAGGTCGACTAGTTTAAAGGACTGGCAGAGGTTTTGACTTACTGAGTGGAAGATCTCTCTTGTTTTA